CTTAATACCTCTTCCCATTCTTCTTCTTTTATTTTTTCTTCAAGTTTTCTGTACCAGGCCTCATTAATCCATTCTTTTGGTCTGTATACTTCTCTCCACTCCTCTGACATATCTTCCAACTTTGTTTTCCTTTTTCTAAACTGATTTTGGAAATGTTCTGCCAAACCATTTAAGACCGCATTTGGCTCTGTTACTAAGTTGACCTCTTCTTTGTTTTGTACTAAATATCTGTCAAGCGTAATCTTTTTGTATGGTTTGTTTAACAGACTAGCAATCATTCGTCCTTGGTCTGTTTTAATCATCTCACATCTTCTGTTTACATTTTCTTCTATTTGTTTTCTCTGTGTGTATTCTCATTCTTCTTTTCTTTTCTCTTTAATTATTCGTTGCCACCCTTTTATATCATCTATCCAAGCTTCTGACCACTGCCTATGCAGCTTCGGTAATATTACTCCTATTTCTTTCCCTATAGCTTTGAGTTTGTCATTTATTTCAATTCTTTTTACTTCTTCTGTTCTCGTATTTTTTTTGAGTTTTGCTCTTTTGATTATTTGCTGAAGTTCGATAATATGCCTATATTGTTTGATCTTCTTTTGACCTTGTCTTCTGTTTTCTCTTGTGTTAAAAATCTTCTTTCTCGGAATTTGCTTATTTGCTGCTTCAGTTATAGCTTCTTCTATTGCATCCCACATCTGGTTCAGTGTATCTGTACTGCATTTTGCATTTGACTTGTCATCTTCTAGTTGCTTTAACACTCTTTTCCATTCTAACTGACTTTGCAACTCTTTTGCATATTCTTCCCAATTCTCTTGACTCGCTTCTTCATACAGGTATATTGTTCTTGTTTGATCTTTGCGTTTGACTTCCGCTCTACTACTGTTTGCAATTATATGACCCATCCACACTTTTATTAGTACTACACTGTGATCACTATCTGTCAGGCCTTCTGCTTCTTCTATGCTGGCTCCTTGCAGCCCTGATGTAAGTGCCTCTGACAACCAAATGTAGTCAATTCTTGTTGCTGCTTCACAGCTTGACCACGTATATGCCCTTTCTAATGGATTTAAGTTTCTGAATGAGTCTGTAAAATTCTGTCTTTTGAGCCAATTGAATAATGGCAGCCTCTTGTAATTAAGAACTTGCGGGTGTTGTTTGTCTAGTATATTGTCCGCTGGCTGGTTAGTGTCTTCTGGAAGAATGAGTTCTGTGTGTCTTTTCGTGGTCGTTATTACTTCTACGATTTTTTGCTAAGTTTTCTTACT